ATGTACATATGTGTGATTGTGGTTGTGCTCAATAGATCGAGTGTCACGTTTCGACACATTAACTTGGATCGGGTACCACGTTTCGGCGCATATATTGGATCGGGTGTCACGTTTCGACACATTAACTTGGATCGAGTGCCACGTTTCGGCGCATATATTGGATCGGGTGTCACGTCCGGCACACTAATTAGGATCGGGTACCACGTTCCAGTACACTAACAGTTTGGGTATGGGTTCCATGAGAGGATCATTGAATTGTCATGTTTACTTGTCATTGAGAATATGGAATCGTACATTGCTCTTGAAATGATAACTGTGTTTATATTCAGTGCATGTCATGTGTTACTTTGTTGTGACTACCTATATATGTTCGCGTGATCCTACCATTACACTGTGTTTGTGTACTGATACTGCACTTGCTCGTTCTTTGTTGAGTATATGGCACCTTCAAGCGGCTATTGATAGACCTCAGCTAGGAGATTAGTGATCGAGACCGAATTTCAAGGGTGAGCCAGTTCTTTCAGGCTGCCACAGAATGCTTCATTTTTGTTTAGTCCATTCTTTTTGGATTTAGACTATTGTCTAGATGTTTCTTATGCTTAGTTTTGGGTTGTACCCATTTCCTTAGACTTGTTGAATTTAGATGTTTTGGTACAATGACTTTCAGGTTCTAAGGGTTAAACTTCCGCATTAGTTTGGTTAGTTATTTGTTAAAACCTATGAAGTTTATGGGAACTCTAGTTTATTTCTGCATTTAAACCTGCTTTTGTATCTTTAAATGTCTTAGTTTTCATAAAATTTGTTAGATGGGTTGTAGTTAATGGTTCTCCCACCGGAGGGTTAGTGTGGGTGTCACTCACGACGATCTGGGTCAAGCGACAAATTAAAAAGAATCACAACTAAATTAAATTATTTTCAATGCAAAATTTTATTTTGATAGATGAAAAAAAGGGATCATCTTCTATTCCTTTGATTTACTATGAGTCTCTTTTTTTTATTTTATAACTTTTTTTTATTTGTTTAGCATTTTTAAAATATATCATAAATTTTGTTCTTTAGTAATACCTATAAATTAACAATGACAGATAATATAGGATTTAATTTTAAAATTTTTGAACTAATTTTATATAAATAATTAATTATTAATTATTATTTTTAATATTAATAAAATAAAATTGCAGAGTTATAAGCACCTCTAAGATGCTATTATGAGTAAACCGTAAAAATATACATAACAAAGTCATTTTAAGTCAATTTTAATCCAATATTTTGAAAGCAATAATATTAATTATTATCTTAGATTAAATACATGTAGACAAATTTTATATGGTAGAATGAAATTATAAATGAAAATGAAAATCTGAAAATAACATTTTGCAAGTCATCATTCATTTTATATTTTTATTATATTATATACTCTAAAAAAATCAATAATTTTTTTTTAAAATAATAATGTTCCTTCTCTTTTATTTTCTATACGAAGTTTTGAGTTAAATGTTGAAAATAAACATTTCACATATAAAAACTTTAAATATATTTTGGTACTTTTACTTTTAAGGTTGCTTGCACAGTATTTTGTATTTTACTTTCATTGTTCATTATATTTAATATTTTACTATGACATTAATTATGTGGGTAAGAAGCATTTATATTTTCATATTTTACTTCGTATTGCTTATGCTCTCCTCCACAAACGATTTTTCGAATGGATTTTTTCCCACGGGTAATGTGAAACTATTCATAAACACTTATGTAATGCCTCATCCCATATAACTTACAAAATCTCGAGGACTGTTGCAATTCTAAAATTTAAATAACAAAATATACAGATCGAACTACATATATAGATCTCGAGGAGTGTTGTAATTCTAAAAAATGAATAACAAAATATACAAATCGAACTACATATCAAAAAATACCAAAGAAATATGTAGAACTAAAGGAAGTAATTGATATACATACCAAAGAGACACATTGACATTTTAATACCTTGGCACTTAAGAAATCATGGAAAGCATTTAAATTAAAATTTTCTTTTGAGCACCTCCTGCTCCAATTCGTAGTTGTCCATGATGAATTGTTTCAATCATCTAATGAAATAATCAAATTATGATAAAACTTTCGAACGGTTACAACCGTGTGGGAAGTTATAAGAGATTATTAATAGGCCAAAGTCATTTGTAGCCCTTCAAAGTTGTCCTCATTATTCATTTAGACACCTCAACTACACCTAGAACCTATTGAACACCTCTACCACCCCAGATTTGAACCATCTAAGCATTTTTTTATCACTTTTCATAAACCGTGTGGCGCGTGTATTTAACCTTCCCATGTGTATCCGATGTGTATAGAATGACCATTTAACAACTACCACGTGTATCCGACGTGTATTTGTAAATGTCTTAATTGGGGAAGATTCCTAAATCGTTAAAATTGATAGAACACTTCTCTCTCTCTCTCTCTCTCTTCGCGATTTTTTCCAAATTGAAGCTCTCCATCTTCGCGATTTCCTCCAGATTGAAGTTGGATTCATCTTGTTCGTGTTACAATCTTGAAGATTTCCTTGTGTAAGTTAGGATTGTTAATGGTTTTTACATGCTTTGTTAAATGAATTCCAAAAGGCTAGGGTTTTGTAAAAATATAGGGTTTGTGATTTTTGCAAATATTTTGTCCCTTCTTTACTATTACCCAGAAAATATGCTTTAAAACTTTGTTTTTTAGTTGTTGTATGGGTTATATGAGTATATTTTGTTATCTTAAGCTAGGGTTTGTTTGATATTTTGTAGGGCTAACAATTGACCGTGGAGGAGAGCCTTATATTTACAAAGATTTACCATGGTGGAATCTTATCCGAGATATCTATCCCTACTTATGTTGGAAACTGTGTGTCTGCACTCAGGTATATTATTAAGGACCACTTTTCCATTTTGGAACTACTGTATTATACTAAAGAATTAGGGTATGAAACTGTTGGAAGCTTTTATGTGAAGGATTTATTGAATAAAAAATGGGTCCTAATTACAACTGACCAACATCTCCTACACCTAATTAAAGACTTAAAACATGAGGACACTTTTGAAGTATTTGTCTGTCATGTATTAGATGAAACCTTACTTGACACTGAGGGACCTAGAGGCTATCTAACTAATGTTGGTGGTGAAAGTGTTGATGTTGACCTTGGTGAAGAGGGTGAGGCTGTTAACTTAGGTGGAGAAGGTGAGGCTGTTGACCTAAGTGGAGAAGGTGAGGTTGTTAACCTTGGTGGTGAGGGTGTTGATGTTAACATTAGTGAAGAGGGTGTGGATGATAACCTAGGTAGAGATGGTGTGGATGATAACCTAGGTGGAGAAGGTGAATCTGATTTCTTGAGTAGTGATTCAGATCTAGATATACCTTCAAAAGATGGTTCAGATATTGATAAAGAGTTGAGAGCTTTTAGACAAGAAAGAAGAAACAAAAAACAGAGAAAAAAGGCTACTGAATTTGAAGAAATACCAGTTGGAGAGGCTGGTGGTATAGATAGAGGCTTTGAGGATATTGGAAAAAATAAAACTGACAAATATGCAGGAAAATTAGGTGGAGATGAGGATTATATTGATAGCTCTGACTGTTGCAGTGATGATAGTGATGAACAACTAGATGTGGATGCTGTTAGGGGAGTAGATATACCTACTAGAAGGAGAAGCAAAAAAGTTAGGTATGATGAAGATTATGAAGTTTCAATATTTGAGCTTGGAATGGTCTTTGAGGGTGCAAATCAGTTCAGGAAAGCAGTGGCAGATTATGTTGTAAAGTACATGAGGCAGATAAAGTTAAGACCTAATGAAAAACATAGAGTGAGGGTGAAGTGCAAAAATGCTAACTATAAGTGGTTGTTATATGCTTCCATTGACAGGGACTCAGGTGATTTCATTGTGAAGAACTATCATCCTGTTCACAAGTGTATTCCATTAAACAGGAACAAGTTGTGTAATTCAAAGTTAATTGCTAGAAAGTTTAAGGACAAAATTGTATCTCAACCATACATAAGGATTTGGGAAATTCAAGATTTGGTTAGAAAGACATTGGGTCTTTATGTTGGTAAGACTCTTTGTTACAGGGCTAAACAGAGGATTATGAAGGAAAACATGGGTGATTGGAAAGTGGAATTTGCCAGATTATGTTACTATGCAGATATGATCAAACAAACCAATCCTGGAAGCTCTTGTTGGGTAAAAATTGATAAGGAAACTGAACCAGGAAAGAACCTTTTTGTGTATTTTTATGTGTGCTTTCATGCATTTAAGCAAGGATGGTTAGAGGGGTGTAGGAATATAATTGGATTTGATGGTTGTTATCTTAAGGGAGCTTGTAAATGTGAGCTATTAGTTGCTGTTGGAAAGAATGGGAACAATCAAATGTATCTCATTGCCTGGGCAGTTGTGGATACAGAAACAAAACATAGTTGGAGCTGGTTCATAAGGTATTTAATTGTTGATCTAAACTTGGGAACTGGTGAAGGTTTGACTGTAATGTTAGATATGCAAAAGGTATTGATTATACAATTTTTTATATTTTAGTTTTAATTTGATCTTTACTTCTTCAATTACTTATTTTGTACATATTTTTTGTTAGGGACTTATTCCTGTCTTGTCAGAGTTTTTACCAAATGCTGAGAAAAGGATGTATGCTAGACATATATGGAATAACTGGCATGTGAACTGGAAAGGAGAAGAAAGAAGGAAATAGTTTTGGAGATGCTCAAAGGCCTCCTTTGAAGTCAAGTTTGGAGAAGAAGTTCATGCAATGTCCAAGCTAGGTAAGAAGGAAATAATAGAGGACTTGCTACATTATGATCCCAGAAATGGTCTAGGGCCTTTTTCCAAACTCACTCCAAGTGTGATGTTGTAGAAAATAACATGTGTGAGACTTTCAATTCCTGGATCTTAGCTACTAGACATAAATCAATTATTACCATGTTAGAGGATATTAGGCATAAAATGATGAACACACATATAGACATGATCAAATTTGCTGAAACATGGATATCGGACATTGCACCTATGGCAAGGGCAATACTAGAAAGAAACAAGGAGTATTCAAATAATTGTAATGTTCAATGGAATGGGTTGAATGGTTTTGAGATTAGTGAGGGAGAATATTCATTTGTTGTTGACTTGGAGAAGAAACATTGTGACTGTAGGTTGTGGATGTTGAGAGGTATTCCTTGCCCTCATGCTATTTGTGCTTATTATTACTTGAATCAAGATCCTGATCAACATGTAGAGCACTGGTATAAGAAGGAAACATTTCTCAAGGCTTACATCCATTTTATCCAACCTATTCTCAATATGAGGATGTGGCCTGAAACTACAAAACCAACAATAGAGCCTCCAAAACCAACAAAAATGCCAGGCAGACCTGGCAAGAAGAGAAGAAAGAGTAAGGATGAGCCAAAAAAATGGGGGAAACTTTCAAGAAAAGGAGTAAAGATGACATGTACCATATGCAAGAAAACTGGTCATAACAAAGCTGTGTATGAAAGAGTAAGTAATACTTCATATTCATATTTGTAAATTGCTTAAAGTTTATATATATTATAATCATATATTTTATTTTGTGGTGACATAGTATACGAGGGGGAGCACTTCTCAACCTACAAGTCAAGGAAATTCAAGTCAACAAAGTTATTCTCAAACAGGAGTAAGATTTGATTTACATATTCATTTGCACTAATTTTCATTGTATAATTTATTCATATCTCCTTATTTTTGTTCAATAGGTTAGAACACAATCAAGTCAACAAAGTTTTGTTTGTGCTGATACCACTGTTGTGCCAAGAACTACTCAAACAACAGTAAGATTAGATTTAATAATTCATTTACATTTTCTGATTGATCTACAAGTTATTCATATATCCTTATTTATACTATATAGTCTACAATGGGAGGTCCATCGCATTCTACTTTCAGAACCACATATGCAACTACACAATCAAGTCAACCAAGTTCTATTTGTGCTGACACAGAATCTGTGCCAAGATGTCCTCAAAATAGGGTTCAAGTTGGGACTGGAAGAGGATTGGGAAGAAAAAAAGCTAATGCAAGAGGGACCCCAATTGTTACTGAAAGTGATAGTTCTTCTAGTCAACTGCCACCTTTATCAGGTCACAAAAGACCGTACAATTCTGCCTCATTTGCTGCTGCTACTGGAGGTAATAGAAGGCCTGGTTTTGGTGTTTACTCTAATCCTACAACTGGAGCCCAAGTATTTAATGTATGTTTACTCTGTTTTGGTGTATATTCTGATAGCTATATTATGATCTTACCTTATCTTACACTTTCTTTCTTATATTACAGCCTGGTACATCAAGTGAGAAGATTCTACATGGGCCAACAAAATTGAAGAGTGCTTCACCAACCAATATAGACATTGGCTTTAAACCTCATGGCCTAAAATGGAAGGGAAAAGATGCAGTCAGCACCTCACAGTTGCAACAAATGAAAGCAAACAGGAAAACCTAAAAGTAGTTCATTTGGAAAGTTGTTATGATTTTGGCCCATGTTAAAAGGGTCTTCAACAAGCTACTCTTTAGTTTATTTTGAACACTCGTGTGATGTATTTTTGAACCATGCCTTTGTGTTAGCAAGACTATGTATTTTTGAACCATGCAAGACAATGGTTTTTTATTACCTCTCAATGCATTTGTGTTATGTATTTTTCAACCATGACTTTGTGTTATGTATTTTCCAGCCATGCATTTGTGTTATTAGCTCAGTTTTTGAACAACAACTACACAGGGCAAGTCGATCCCAGAACTAATTTCAGAACACAGGGCAAGTTAGAACACAGGGCAAGTTAGAACACAGGGTAACTTAGAAAACAGAGGCAAGTTATAAAACAGAGGCAAGTTATAAAAGAGAAACTGATCAATTCACTCTAGAAGTTACAAAAGAGACACTGATCAATTCACATTCAAACTTCCAATTTGATATAAAATATGAACTTAACAGACCAATTAAGTACAACACTAATTACGTGAAATAGCCTCCTAACTACTGCAAAACTAAACAATTAAGTACTACAATTTTGAACTACACAATATTAAAGAACCATTTTATAGTTAGCAGACAAAGAAAAACAATCACAACTCGGTTAAATTTGACATTTTCCCAATCCCTTTGGAGTTTAACTTCCTTGAGCTTCTTGTTCAATACCATCATCTTCTCTTCATTTTCATTCAATTGAAATTTCAAAGAATCCCTTTCTTCTTCAAGCTCTTTCACTTTTCTCTTTAGTCGATCAATCGGATTATGACCATCTATGAATCTATTCATTAAGGATGATTCATCAAATTTTCAAGTGACGGATCAATCCATCTAAAATAGCCACACCCACCATTTTCCTACAAACCACATAACAGTAATAAATATACAAAAATGTTGATTTTTCAAATAATACAATAATAGTAGTTTTTGTTCAAATAACTACAAACCTTTGATGCTTTGCATCCAAAAAATCGACGACCTGGGTTCAATGGAGTCCTCGAAGTTTTCAGTCGACAATAATAACCACACTTACATACATCGACTTCCTCGATATTCACTGAACTTTGTGACATTTGATAAAACACAACTGATTTAGAAGAGAGAAACGTTGGATATTTTGAGGAAGAAGAGAGAATTAGGGATTAGGGTTCTAAAATGTATTTGGGGGAAGAAGAAGATTTTAATGTTAAAATATCCAAGTTAACGTTGGATGTCTTAAATGCAGGGTAAAAAATGGGAGAAAAAACAATTAACGCGCCCGATTTGCATGAATCACAAACGATTTGCCATGTAGGCAAAAAATGCTTAGATGGTTCAAATCTGGGGTGGTAGAAGTGTTCAATAGGTACTAGGTGTAGTTGAGATGTCTAAATGAATAATGAGGACAACTTTGAGGGGCTGCAGATGACTTTGGCCTTATTAATAATATTAATTAATTAATATTGATGATTAGATTTTTAAAAACTAAAAATTCTAGAATATTTGTTATACTGATTTAAAGAATTAGTTTTTAAAGGGTGTGGAGTAGTAGTTTTGAGATGGTGTTTTCTAATGATAAGGTTAGTTATTTTTTGAAATTCAAATTTTGAAATTATTTTTTTGTTGTAACTTTTTTTTTTAATCAAAATTGCAAACTCTTATGTAAAAATAAACTGCATTTTTTAAATTTAAAAAAAGAGAGGAAGAAAACGGGATAATTGGTTTCAAGTTTCAACCGTCATTTTATATATATATATATTTTATCATTTTCTATTTTTTTTTTACTTTTTAAAATGTAAAAAGTGTGGTAACTATTTTGAAAAAAATAACGTAGTTGTAGTCTTTTTTCAAAACATTTTAAAATTTAACTTTTTTTTTAAATTTAAATTTTATTTTTCAAAATTGAATAATTAAGAAATTTTGTGGTGATGACACATGGCACTTTTTCTTCTCCTATTATATTCTACTATATTATAAAAGAGAGTTTATGCCCAAGTTTAATATATAATATTATATATTATACTTGGGCATAAACTCTCTTTTATAATATAGTAAAATATAATAGGAGAAGAAAAAGTGCCACGTGTCATCACCACAAAATTTCTTAATTATTCAATTTTGAAAAATAAAATTTAAATTTTAAAAAAAAGTTTGTGGGACTTTAAAAATTCTATTTTATACCCAAGTATAATATATAATATTCAAGATTGGGACTTTCTTGAATATTATATATTATATTTATTATATAGTAGAACTTGGGCATAAACTCCCTTTTAAAATAATATAGAATATATATACATATCTCACAAATGGAAAAGTCTCAATCAAGGAAACAACATATATCATTTACAAATGACTTAAAAAGCTTTAAAATATTTAAAAGCTATATAATAAAATAGGTTGACTCTCAAAATTTTATCAGGCTCACATATATTGGGACAGAAAAAATAACACATATCACTTTAATATTACCAAAAAAGTATTATAAATAATAATAATAATTAACAACTTAAAATATCTGAAAGACATTTTAAAAGGGTTAATTTTGTAATTTTATCCATATCACATAAATTAGGACAAAGTTACCAGTAATGTACATTATTTCAAAGTTACATAAAAATATTATAAATCACAATAATTACTAACTTCAAACATTTTTAAAAAAAATATGAAAATTTGGATGACTCTCCAAATTACATTTGTGTCACATAAATTGAGACAACAACAATAACATATATTGGGTCCATTTTAATTTATTTGTCTTATTTTTTTATATTTAAAAATTGCGTAAAAATACTATAAATCATGATAATTGACAACATAAAATATGTTTTGAAAAAAAATACAAAAAATTCCACTGATTCTTGAAGTGAATCTATTGTAAAAATACTATAAATCATGATAATTGACAATATAAAATATTTCAAAAATGTTGTATGTGGGTGTCTTATTATGCCTTAAATAGCGTCAAAGAAAGTACAGGTTTGTGATAAAAAAAACTTATTCCTTTATTCACGCAAACAATCGCTTCAAAAACTCGGTTATTAGCCCAAAAACATACCATTTATATTATTGGGCCCATGCATAGCACGATATGTATGTATATATATATCTCACAAATGGAAAAGTCCCAATCAAGGAAACAACATATATCATTTACAAATGACTTAAAAAGCATTAAAAATTACAATAATTACCAATTTAAAATATTTAAAAGCTATATAATAACATAGGTTAACTCTCAGAATTCTATCAGGCTCACATATATTGGGACAGAAAAAATAACACATATCATTTTAATATTACCAAAAAAGTATTATAAATAATAATAATTAACAACTTAAAATATCTAAAAGACATTTTAAAAGGGTTAGTTTTGTAATTTTATCCATATCACATAAATTAGGACAAAGTTACCAGTAATGTACATTATTTCAAAGTTACATAAAAATATTATAAATCACAATAATTAATAACTTCAAACATTTTTAAAAAATATATGAAAATTGGATGACTCTCCAAATTTCATTTGTGTCACATAAATTGAGACAACAAAAATAACATATATTGGGTCCATTTTAATTTATTTGTCTTATTTTTTATATTTAAAAATTGCGTAAAAATACTATAAATCATAATAATTGACAACATAAAATATGTTTTGAAAAAAATACAAAAAATTCCACTGATTCTTGAAGTGATTCTATCGTAAAAATACTATAAATCATGATAATTGACAATATAAAATATTTCAAAAATGTTGTATGTGGTAGTCTTATTATGCTTTAAATAGCGTCAAAGAAAGTACATGTTTGTGATAAAAAAAAAACTTATTCCTTTATCCACGCAAACAATCGCTTCAAAAACTCGATTATTAGCCCTAAAATATACCATTTATATTATTGGGCCCGTGCATAGCACGGACAACATTATCTAGTTATAGATAGAAGATTATGATTATTATTATTATTATTAGATAATGCTTTTGTGTTAATACGTTTTTAATTATATATATTTAATTGTTTTTTTAAAACTAAAAATTGAAGAATCTAACTTGTATGTTAAAATTCAACGTTTTTCCTTTTTTTTTTAATAAAAAAAACAAAATTTCTAATTTGTCTTCTAAAACAGTAATTGTTTTCCCTTTAATAAAAAATTTACATTAATTCTATTTAATTAGTTTATAATTTAAAAATAAAAAATTAAAAATTAATTGTGGTGATGACACGTAGGCGCTATCACCTTTTTTTTATTATATAAATATAGAAGATTATTATTATTATTAGATAATGCTTTTGTGTTAATACGTTTTTAATTATATATATTTAATTGTTTTTAAAAAAACTTAAAATTGAAGAATCTAACTTGTATGTTAAAATTCAACGTTTTTCCTTCTTCTTTTTTTAATAAAAAACAAAAATTCTAATTTGTCTTCTAAAACAGTAAATGTTTTGCCTTTAATAAAATTTTTACATTAATTCTATTTAATTAGTTTATAATTTAAAAATAAAAAATTAAAGATTAATTGTGGTGCTGACACGTAGGCGCTATCACCTCTCCTATTATATAGATATATAGATATTTTGGTATACATATACATAAAAAATATGTATTTGGATCTATTTGTATATTTTGGTATACAAATGGGTCCTGCATTTTATATTTCGGTATACAAATGGATCCTGTATTTGTATAGTTCGGTCTATTTGTACATTTTAATATACAAATGGGTCTTGCATTTGTATATTTCGGTATACAAATGGGTCCTGCATTTGTATATTTCGGTATACAAATGGGTCCTGTATTTGTATATTTCGGTATACAAATGAGTCCTGCATTTGTATATTTCTGTCTATTTGTATATTTCGGTATACAAATGGGATGGCAAAAAACATGAAATGTTTGCTGTGAATTACAAATAAAAGAAACTATAGCTATAACATTTAATT